TATCACGTACCTGAGGCTGAGACTGGAAGATGGGGAGGCGCCTCTTGCGGTTCGCATCCTGCGACCCCTGGAGTTTGGAACAGAAGGGCACAGGGCAACGAGGAGCACGAGTGCCGAAGACTGGAAACGAACACTGCGTGGGAGCAGCTGAGAAGAGAGGTCAGGAAGCCAAGGTCAAATCTGGTCGGGCAGGCAAGGTACAAAATCGTAAGGCAATCTCAAGGTCCAGGAAACAGGCCGGGGTCAAGGGCTGGCAGCAAGCAAGAGAGTAGTCCAGGGCAATCCGAGTCAGAGGCAGGCTTTAAACAATACAGGAACACAGGATACCACACATCAAGCTGACAAGACCATCAGCAATGAAAGAGAGGCTTACTCCTCCTTAAATAGTCCCAGGATACTGACAGCTACCTCACTTCCTGTGTGGTTTCCCGCACATTTTGCCGCCATTCCCGCGCATGCGCAGTTTGCCGCGATTTCTCGCGCATGCGCAGTTTGCCGCGATTCATGCGGTTAACAACCGTGCCTTTACAGCCCCCCTAAACAAAAATAACTAACCTTCCCTTGCCCAGATACATACTTATCTGATTCCACTGGTATTGCTTGTGGAGTAAATGAACTAGACTTCCATGAGACCATCCCTCCATACATAAATTATGTTCAAGAAACAGCCCATAGAGGTTTTTGGTCACCAGCTGCACAGAAACTGGCAGTGGAAAGGAAGATTATTGCCCTGAATTGTGAAGAATCAGGCAGGTCATAGCCATTGGATGCATGGGGACTGGAGATGGTAGATTGTTTGTTCAAGGGAGATAGGCAATAAGGATAGTTTTACTTTCAGTGAAAGTACAGCTATCCGTTAAAGACTTTCTATGTGCTAAACTATTTACATAATTTTGAAATCAGGGGGTAAAGTTGACTACAGATGTGTAGATCCCTAATTCGCTTTTACGTGATAGTTCCACAATATTTGTCCTGAATAAGACTATGTCTAAGTCTGTTCACTAAGCTGCCGAAGGATCTGGCCGTAGCTTTGGCTGATCCTTCGGCTAGCTTCGGCCCCAGGACACATTCGGTTCAGTAGAACCAAAGGGCTTCTGTATAGGCTATTCACTATAGCCCGTACAGCTCCCGAAGTTTGCTGAGCGGCTCAGTCGAGCCGAAGGCATATGCCTCGGCTCGTCAGAGCTGAGGTGAAAGCCGAAGCTGGCTGAGCTGCCTGCTTCTGACAGCTGGGCGGAGCCAGCCGTCATCTCACGGCTGGCTCCGGCCACTTGCAGAGAGATCAGCGTCCCTGGTTACCAGGTAACCAGGGACGCTGTCATTACACACTGAGAACCCGGCCAGGCCGCTATGATATCACAGCGGCCTCTCCGTGTTCTCAGTGCTTAATGACAGATGGCGTTCCTGGTTACCTGGTAACCAGGGACACCATCTGTCATTACGCTCCAGGGCGCTCTGGGAGTTTAATACGGCTCCCGGTCACACGGGAGAGAATCACTTTCCCTCGGGAAGGTTTACTCTGCTCGATCACGCAGAGTAAACCTTTCCTTGAGATCTGTTTTTTTTTATGACATGGGGCCGCTGGCCGCCCTCAGTCAGAGAAAAAAAATATTGCCAATAGGAATCTAGCTATGCATTCCTATGGTGTATTTTTTTTTATTTTGACGCCAGCAGAACCGCCCGGCCAATAGAAAACAGTTGGGTGGAGCTAGCTGCCACTGCTAGCTCCGCCCAATCATTTTCTATTTTATTTGTTTCTACTTTTTTAACTGTTTTTCTATTCTGCTCGGTACCACAGGGGTACGGAGCAGAATAGCCGAGACGAATGCCAGATGTTGGATCGGCTGAGTCGAACTCCTTCTGCACTTCGGGTCGGCCAAACATGCTGAGCTGACATGTTCGGCCGACCCGAAGCCACCCGATGTACGGCTGATTTCAGCCAATATACGGCTGAAATCAGCCGTACAAGCCTGTAGTGATTAGCCGAACAGCGTTCGGCTCACTTCACTTCGGGTCGGTTATTCACTCGGCTGCCATCGTCAGCTTAGTGAATAGACCCCTATGTATTTTTTGAAGCAAGTACTGTGAATAGGACTTGACCATTTCTGTTAGTCAACACTTTTTAGTATAAGAGTCTTAATGACTGAAGTCAAATGGTTTGCACTTCAAAAGATCAGGTCATACATTTCCATCTTATTGGCTATCAGGTTTTATGTATGTCTCCCATATGTCCGATATTTTTGTTTAATGTATCTTCTAGTTAATGTTCAAAATATAAGAATATTAAAAGCATATGAAAATAAAAGGCACAAAATGAAATCTTACATGTACAAAAAGACACTCTAATGCCAAATGAACAAAAACTCCTTTACAATTGAAAGCCTGCATGATGCCAGTAAAAAAGCATAATCAAGCATCTTCTATGACTAGGTTTGAAGTGGGCTGATGCAGCCTGTGCACCCTCTAATGTTCCTAAATTAGCTAAAAATGATAGGCCAATGCCCTAGGAGGAGAGTAGGGTGGGGCCTGTTCCAGGCTGGCTTACAGTGAACAATGGCCAGAGTGACACAAATCCATTCACATTTCCCACCCAGTGTCCCAATCCCCAACTGATCAATGTAGGAACTGTATAGGATGTGAAATCTTTGCCAGCCCACTACAAGCCAGACAGGTTTATAAACTCTCTTTGCTTCTAACAGATACTTGCTTACATTTGTACACTAGCAACATACAGGCTTACAAATGAGGGAGGTTTCTGTTATCTAAAGTGTATTTACACCTTTGCAGTCAAATTTGGGTAAGCCCTACTACATGTTTGTTAAGTGTACCCTTTCACGCCACATACCTTAAAATCATTTTTATAGAAATATTTAACATTTTTAGTTGTTTTTTTTGGAGCAAGATTTTACATAGGACTCTATTGGCTTCTACTGCTTTTCAAAAAAGTATACCAATTTATTTGCAAAAGTGGGCATACACTTTAAGTATTGTTACTCAAAACTAAAAAAACTGTCTAGTAATGAAGGGAGCTTAACATGCCAATCCTCAAGCAATTAAAGGTACAATAAATGTGTTTTTCTGATCTGTTATAAATGCCTCAGATGTTGTGCCTTTCTCATGGATTTTCTATGCTGTATTTGTTCTTTCCATTTTACATGGCAATGCTGTCTGCCCGGAGAAAAGAGAGACTGAATAGCTGTTCTTTAAATTCAAAAGGATTATAAGACAGCCTTTACTGGTCAAAATCACCTTGTAATATTTAATAATGGCTCTCCTGAGAAAATTCTATATCCTCTACGTTTATAAAGTTATATATTTATCATCCTGTTTTACACTGTAGTCCTGCTATCATCAATTAACTAGACATGTGCGATTCGTTTCGTTCCGAATCGAAATTCGGACGAATTTTCGGAAATTCGGACATTTGGATGTATCCGAATTCCGAATTACAGACATAACGAATGCAAACGAATCCGAATTTCCATTTCCGAAATTCGGTAGCGTTAGTACGAACGTTCGTTTCGTATTCTGTTCTTATTCGTTTCTTATTCGTTTCGTTCGTTGGAGCAAAGTGACATTAGAGAAGGAGAAAAATATTTTTCCCCCTTCAAATGTCACTTTGCTGCAAACGAACGCACGAAACGAATACGAAACGAATAAGAAACGAATAAGAACAGAATACGAAACGAACGTTCGAACTAACGCTAACGAATTTCGTCCGAATCCGAATTGACTTTCACACCCGAATCCCGAAAAACGAAATAACACAAATCCGAATTTAAAACGAAACAAAACTAAACGAATTTTTTGGCAGTGCACATGTCTACAAGTAACTATTCCTTGGACATTAATAATTTTTAATCTCATGGTGCAGCCCTGGTTTTACTAAAATATGAATATCAATTTGGAATATAAGCCATTTTTTAATTTAATAAAAATTGTCTTTCCCTTTCTTTCTGCATTACCTTCCCTTTTATCCTGCAACCATCCATGCCTCTCTTTCACGAGGAAATAAACTTTAAATGTCTCTTAACTGAAACATGGCAAGAGACCGGCCTGCAAGCAGTGTTTACAGGCTGCATTCTGCTGTGAGTCCTGGTGATTTTAACAAGTGGGTAAGTCAGTTTCATGCAGTTTATAATTCTTTAAGTATGCCATTGAGAAAAGGACCCATTTACTTGTCCACGTCTTCATTTAGCCTGGTGCTTTTTCTTATAGGCAGAGCTGAACTGGATAAGATGATCAACAAACAACAGATCTGCGCTCCTGACTACAAAACTACAAAAAGAAAATAGAAAGTTGCTGTGCTCTGAGCAAATATGTTCTAACAATGCTATTAACCACCAGTGCTCAGGGCTATATAAATACAAAATATTCCTCTCATTAATCAACAGATAAATAAGCTAAAAATATCCATGAATATGAATAAGCTTGTCTTTTAAATATTATGTTAGTCCAATATAAGAAAGGTATCATTGCATACTGCAATACTCCATTTGTTTTTTTTGCATCTTGTCTACTGGACTAATACGGCTTACCCATTTATATATGTATATATTAAGATTAGAACAAAGCATCTGTAATGTGATGAATAAACTAATTTACATAACACCTACAGTTTGCACAAGTATATACGACAGTTATATGACACGTGCTCCATATCAATAACTTCAAAGAGACAGCTAACACAATTGCATCTCTCCATATCAATAGATAACATTCATTAGTTACTCCCCTTCCCCAAGAAATCACCAGATCATAAAATAAGAAGAGTTTATTGAATAAAACTCCTATAGTTTAGGAAGTTTTTGACACAAAAACAACACAGTAACTTTGGCATTACACAATCTTTGTACCAGTTGTACAAAACTAAAAAAACATCTCAGCAAAAGAGTTTTATTACAAAAATGGGTCATTTCTAAGTTTATTTTTTAAGAATAAAAAAGTCCTCATATATAGAAATAAATATATTTGTTCAGGTTTTCTGTAAGGCAAGGTCCCATAAAACGGAACCAATAAATAAAAAATAAAGTCTGATTACAAAGTGTGGTCAGTTCACCAGGGCCTCCATACAGACTCCATGCTATCAGGTCCACTGCTGCCACCTAGAGGGCTCACTGTTTGGGGCATGTGTGGCATCTTGTGAGGAAATGTGGTGAGTCCTTGGATCGGGGAATGTGCCTGTGGTGCTCCACTGGAGGTGATATTTCCATTGGCATAGAGGGGAATAACTGGTCCTGGGCTGGAGGCATAGGCAGGGTTGGGGATTAGAAAGGCATATTGGCCATCAGTTGCTGGCAACAGCTGGAAGCCTCCCTGGAACACTTTGGGAGACAAAGACTCGGCTGAGGTCATCTTGCAAGGCATTGGCACTGGAGCAGTGGCCACTGGTGCTGAGGGCAACTGGACATGCAGAGGCTGACTGGAAGCAGACTGCTGATAATTCATAGCCACGATCTGGCCTAGGCAACCAGAGAGATGACCAAGTAGCCGGGTCCTGACTTCAGTGTTGACCCCTTCGCAGGTGGAGAGGAATCGGGTCACTTCGTTCATGCACTCATTGAATCCTGCTCTGTATTTGCCGAGCACTGAGGGATCAGCTGTTAGTGCAGCTACAGGAGAAATAAAGAACATTACATTAGGAGCTGTGACCAAGCAACGTGATTATGAACGATCTCACTAAAGTACTAGCATTGATCACTCAACACTTGCTTCAAACAAAAGCTGCTGAATCAATTCAATTCTACATAATCTAGAATAGGCAAATCATGACTCTATTAAACTCTGAACATAAAAACATGAATTCACAATAAAATATTTAGTGCTGTGAGCTTCTGCTATCGAACAACTGCAAGTTCCAGCATGCCTGCCCTGTGATAGACAATACCTGACTGAATTTAAGAGCAAATCAGCTTCAGAGACCCTGCCAGCCCCTACATCATCCATCAATAGCAATCATTGTGAGAATATAAAGAGCCTCAGATATGTACCTGTCATCTGAACTCTTTGCAAGTTCCGCAAGTGCTTGACTGTCATTTCCAGGATATCAGCCTTCTCCAGCTTGGAGTGTCTGGAGCTCTGCAAAGAAGGAAAGAGATGATCAGTAAAGTGTGAGACTTGTGGGCAGCAGCAGCAGAGGGATGAAGGGTCAGGAAGCAGTGACCAGAGACTTTAAGGCAACTTACATCTTTCTTTAAGGCGTCCAAGATAAGAGTCTTGAGCTGTCCCAGGCTCTTTCCTGGCTCACCTCATGTCGGCACAGTACGGATCAGCTCCTCCCCCTCTGACCCCACAGGACCACCTTAATCAAGCCAATAAAAGGGAGATCCCCTCCCCCAGTACCTGTTCTTCTTTTTTCCTCGCTCCAGGTCACATTGAACGTGTGGATCCTCCCTTCTGCCTTCCCAGCCAGGTTCAGCCTCTCCTGGATTGGTAGACCCCTCGGAGGGTAGTAAATCTCCCATGAGAGCAGGTGCCCGTGGTGCTAGGCCAGATTCGTAGAGGATTAAATATCCTGCATTTTCTCTGAACGGGGGAGCTGGTGGAGTCCGGGCTGCGGCGTCTTCCGTGCTTCTGCGCATGTGCCGGCGTCCTTGTGTCGGGGGGCGGGGCTTAGCTCCGTTCCTTCCACGTAGGTTGCCAGGGTGACGGCGGGACGCTCACGCATGCGCGGTGGAGTTTTAAAAACGCAGTTTTTTCGGCGGCAAATTTAAACGGGTATTCGTTTCCTTCAGCTGTGCTGTTGGTCTTTGCTACAGTTTCTGCTGCAAATTCTTCAGTTCCTTTTTGCCTTCTAGGTCCTGTGCCTTCTCTAGCAGGGTAAGTATATGCTTCCTGAGGGTTTTGGTTTCCTTGATCTGCCGTGTATTTTTTCTTATGCTGCGTTCTATTTTAAACAGCCTGTTTACTCACCATGAGCTCCCCTCGTCCTACAGATGCACTGAAGCCTGTCGAAAGGTAGGGAGGCGTCGGGGGACCTTATTAAAAGAGTGCGACTTTGGATATGCTTTTTTTTGACTGTGTTGTTTGGATTTTACAGGAGTAAAAGTCCTCTGCACAAACGCACAAGGAAACGTAAGGAGAGAAGACACTCTTCCTCTTCGGACTCTGTCCATGAGCACTCTCCAGGAGGCCACAGGCATCGGCAGAGAACAGATCCAGGTGCCTCATCTTTTCAGAGAAAAAACCCGTGCCCTCCGGGATCATGTTGGTCCTGCTCCGCACAGTCCATGTCAGGTAAAATGTTGTGCCGAGAGTGTCGCAGAGAGGTGGCCAGGAACAAGGAAACGGACTCCCTGGAGATTAAATCTTACATCCACCAGGCCGTGCAGGATAGCCTACAGGATCTGCTTCCTTCGATAGCCTCTTCCTCTCAGCACGCGCCTAGGGCATCTACATCATCCAGACCTACAGAACTGCCAGATGAGGGTGAGATCTTGTCAGAGGGATCATCCACGTCAGACGCATAGGGTCTGCATGCCTTTGATTTCAACCTCATTTTACCTTTTATTTCGGCAATCAAAGAGGCCATTGAATGGGAAGGGGTTGATCCCCCTAAGAAGATAGCAAAGTATTTCCCAGGCCTGAAAAAGGAGGGTCCTACTTTCCCAGTTATGCCGGGGGTTAAGGATCTGATTGAGGAAGAATGGGAGCAGCCGGATAGAAAGCTGAATTTTCAGAACCGTTTTTTGAAACTGTATCCCTTAAACGCAGCTGATACAGCTCTTTGGGATAAACCGCCAGTTATTGATGCGGCCTTGCAGCGCTTAGCACGTCATGTGGCTCTTCCACTGGACAACTCAGTGGCCTTTAAGGATGTGATGGACCGGCGGTTGGATGCGGATTTGAAGAGAATTTACGCTACCGCTGGGTGGGCCTTGTTTTGGATATGCTTTTTTTTGACTGTGTTGTTTGGATTTTACAGGAGTAAAAGTCCTCTGCACAAACGCACAAGGAAACGTAAGGAGAGAAGACACTCTTCCTCTTCGGACTCTGTCCATGAGCACTCTCCAGGAGGCCACAGGCATCGGCAGAGAACAGATCCAGGTGCCTCATCTTTTCAGAGAAAAAACCCGTGCCCTCCGGGATCATGTTGGTCCTGCTCCGCACAGTCCATGTCAGGTAAAATGTTGTGCCGAGAGTGTCGCAGAGAGGTGGCCAGGAACAAGGAAACGGACTCCCTGGAGATTAAATCTTACATCCACCAGGCCGTGCAGGATAGCCTACAGGATCTGCTTCCTTCGATAGCCTCTTCCTCTCAGCACGCGCCTAGGGCATCTACATCATCCAGACCTACAGAACTGCCAGATGAGGGTGAGATCTTGTCAGAGGGATCATCCACGTCAGACGCATAGGGTCTGCATGCCTTTGATTTCAACCTCATTTTACCTTTTATTTCGGCAATCAAAGAGGCCATTGAATGGGAAGGGGTTGATCCCCCTAAGAAGATAGCAAAGTATTTCCCAGGCCTGAAAAAGGAGGGTCCTACTTTCCCAGTTATGCCGGGGGTTAAGGATCTGATTGAGGAAGAATGGGAGCAGCCGGATAGAAAGCTGAATTTTCAGAACCGTTTTTTGAAACTGTATCCCTTAAACGCAGCTGATACAGCTCTTTGGGATAAACCGCCAGTTATTGATGCGGCCTTGCAGCGCTTAGCACGTCATGTGGCTCTTCCACTGGACAACTCAGTGGCCTTTAAGGATGTGATGGACCGGCGGTTGGATGCGGATTTGAAGAGAATTTACGCTACCGCTGGGTGGGCCTTGCGGCCTGCCTTGGCTTTGACATCGCTCTCTAAAGCCCTGAAGTTATGGGTATCCAATGTGGATACGGCACTTAAAGCAGGTGTTGACAACTCGCAAATCCTGCCCGCACTAGAGGAACTAAATTTATCTGCAGATTTTTTGGCTGAATCCTCCATAGATCTGGTCCGCCTCTCCTCCAAGTTGATGGGCCATTCGGTCACCGCCAAGAGGGCATTATGGCTGAAACATTGGACCGCGGATTCAGCATCGAAACAGGCGTTGTGTGCCATTCCTTTTAACGGAAAGAGTCTGTTTGGGAAGACACTGGACGACGCGATTAAAAGAGTGACGGGTGGCAAATCAGGCCTACTTCCACAGACCTTTAAGCGCAAGCAACAGCCCTTTCGGGTCAACCAGGGCTCACAGAGATTTAAGGATGCCCGGACCTATAGGCCAGGCAGGCAGTTTTCCAGACCTCAGTGGAGAGGGGCACAGTCGTCCTTGTTGCGAAACATCAAGGCGAAGGCCGGTCAAGTGCAGAAAACTCCGGATAAACAGTTCTGAAGGTGTGCACACCCAGGAGGTTCCGGTGGGGGCCAGGCTGGAGGCCTTCAAGGAAGCCTGGGTGGCAGAAGTACAGGACGTATGGGTGAAAGATATCGTAACCAGAGTGTATCAGCTGGAATTCAAATTTCTCCCTCCGTCTCATTTTGTGAACACCTGGATTCCACTAGAGCAAGCGAAGCGAAAATTGCTTCTCGATTATGTCGCAGAATTGTTGGTGAAAAAGGCTATCGTTCCGGTGCCAAAAGAAGAATGGGGTCAGGGATTTTATTCCCCGATTTTTCTTGTCAAAAAAGCCTCGGGAGGCTTCAGGCCGGTATTGGATTTGAAGAAACTGAATTTGTTTATTCAAGTGGATTCCTTCAGGATGGAATCAGTCCAGATGATAATTGCAGTGGTCCAAGCCGAAGAGTGGATGATCTCCATCGATTTAGAAGATGCATACCTTCATGTGCCGGTAGCGCAGCAGCATCAGAAGTACCTGCGGTTCGCCGAAACAGGGCAGCATTATCAGTTCCGCGCCTTACCGTTTGGACTGTCCACGGCTCCACGGACCTTCTCCAAGATGGTGGTGGCACTTCTTCGGCTTCAGGGAGTCAAAGTGTTACACTACTTGGACGACATCTTAGTCTTAGGAAGGTCGAAGCAGTCTCTTATTACCCACCGCAGACTCGTGTTGGCCACCTTGCTTCGGTTTGGATGGCTAGTCAACTTCCGGAAAAGTCAGCTTTTCCCGGCACAGAGAATGGAGTACTTAGGTGTGGTTCTGGACACTTCTCTTGCGAGGGTGTTTCTCCCGGATCGCCGCAAGAGAGAGATTACCGCGTGTGTCAACAGAGTCGTCAGCCTACCAGTCTTACAGGCGAGGTGGAGCTCGCAGAACACTTTTGCAAGACACTACCGTTTGGATGTGGCAAACGCCAGATTAACCAGATTTGGAACGGCGGTTCTTTCCGCTGCTTTATCTCAATAAATATTTTCTAATTTTGCAGTATTCAGTTTCTGAGGGTGTTTCCTTTTTATGGTTATTGGACCCGCCCATGGGGGATTTTGCTTGCTATATCCCGTACTGTGCCGACATGAGGTAAGCCAGGAATACGGAAAATTGTTATCATTTTCCTTTCCTGGCTCATCCTCATGTCGGCAGGCATTCCCTTCCCTGGTGGACCTGTCGCTCGGCGTGTTATTGAACAGGTACTGGGGGAGGGGATCTCCCTTTTATTGGCTTGTTCTATTTTCCCCACTATGGGGATACAAGCCTTAGTTAGCAATGGCATGATAAATATTCATTTAATGATTCAATGTCTTTTTTTAAATATTATAACATTTATAATATAAAAAAAGACATTGAATAATGAAATGAATATTTATCGTGCCTTTGCTAACTAAGGCATGAGCACATGTCCAGAGTCCAGAACACTGTTTAGTGTGGCACTGCTGTATCCAATTCTGTATAACTGGCTTTATATTATTATTATTACATTTTCTTATAATATAAAGCCAGGTATGCAGAATTGGATATAGCTGTGCCACACTGTGTTCTGGTCTGCAGTCTGGACATGTGCTCATCTATTTTCACCACTAGGGGGATACAAGCCTTAGTTAGCAATATCTACATAGTTATTTTCTTTTTTTTAAATAATATATGCCGGTAAACAGCATTTTTGTGCCCAGCCCCATGAGATGCGGCGGTACTAACCTGTTGTGTCGTCTTCTCCGTCTGCTTCAGCCTATGAGAAGAGGTCAGAATGGAGCAGATGACTGAGGACTTGGAGGAGGAGTTCGCGGTAATCTTGCTTCATTGAAGACACGATGGAGGTCCTGTGTACGGCGGATTCGGGTCCCTGAAGATGGCGGACTCGGTACAGGTACTCGTTTTTTGTATTGGAGTATTTGCACGAGTATGAGTACTCATGCAAATACTCGGTATCGCCGCCGATACCGATGCTTGTATCGGTGCATCCCTAATATATATATATATTAAGGATGCACCGATACCACTTTTTTAAGACCGAGTACGAGTACCGATACTTTTGATCAATACCAATTACCGATAGTTTTTCTTAAAGGAACAGGTCACATTTTTTATAAAGCAATACAAACTAATGCTTTACGGTCACTTTCTTAATATTATGATTCATGAGATGACGAGGGAGCATGACGCCGGCTTCCCGGCCAATCAGAATGCCGGGCACTGCGTCATTACACTTCCCTCTTTGTTCTAGGGTGGGAGGGGGCATGCCGGTGCATTGAAGTTAATGGCACCGCAGCCACAACCCCAGCCCGCACTGCGATTAGACACGTGGCAAAATATTGCCTGCGTTCCTGTTTAGTGCGAACGCAAAAAAAGCTGCATGCT